TCAAGTTAAACTTATTCCTAGGGAGAAAAGTGAGTGTGTAAAACCCCAGGCTTCAGTGGAATAACCTCACAAAACAAAGCAAATCGGGTGAACAGCATGGCTAGCTGACGTTTTCAACCTTGCGTAGCCTGCAGTTTCCTTCTGCACATTGTGAGTAGCTTAAATGCAAGGATATACTGGGTGTGAGATGTCTTCCTCTGCGGGGAGTCTCTCCGTCGTAAAGGAGATTCATGGGAGAAGCGGACTGGCTTTAATAGCTGTTTTTTAATTGCCCCAATGCATCTGCTCTTCCTTGTCTGTGGGATCTTGATTGTTTTTCCCTAGTTCTCACTAGTGTCCTTGACTGTTGTTTTGTTTAAGAGGCGAAACAGCTACTTCTAGGCTATCTTGCTTATAATAAGCATCTACCTTACTCTTGCACCTTTTGCACCCAAAAGTACCAAAGTGCTGGGCAAAACACGCTTGCACTGATTCTCACAGCAGCCTCGGGAGAGAGCGGAATCATTTATTCCCTTTTTAACTATGAGGCTGAGGGAGATTGAGCAGCTTTGTGAAGGTCACGCTGGAAAGTATGTGACAGCTTGGGAATAAGTGCCAGGTCTCCTGTCTCTGGGTTCCCAACCGTGCCCTCTCCTGAACTGTTTTCGTAAGTAGGAACCAGGTAAAATCAGGATTATTTCCAATTGAATTTGTTTAGTGAAACAGTGAAACCCAAACATACGTGGGATGTCTGGAGTAGGAGACAAAAAAAAGAGGCTGCTGTCTGTCTTTAGTGTTGTTCCTGATGTTAGACATTCAAGACCAAAGCTCAAGATTTTTAGTAGCCAGGTGTTGGAAGGAAAAAGACATTGTCCATATGCTCAGTGCCGCAAGCATCTGTGTACTTAAATGCATCATTTTAAGATCATCCATCTTCTCTTTGGTGGCACTGAACTGTGCTGCCATCCTCAAAGCTCTCGAATGGACTCTCGTACCTCTGGATACGTTGTTCCTCCTTGGTGTGGACCATTTTCCAAGCAACAGCTGAGTGCGAGCACTCAGGATGGGAAATTCAGAGCTCTCTGACAAATTTAAAGTTGCTGTCTACAGCTCGGAATGGCTGAAAGGAAGCAATTTGCTTCAAAATATTGAATATTGGGGGAAACCATCTATTTCTGTAGCAGTTACAAAGAGCAAACCCAGAAAGGTCGATTACAGTGGCAGGTAGCAGCTGCCCACAATTTCAAAGGCCTGGAGATAAAATTAAGGGCTTGCAGCCCGAGCCTGGTGGGAAGCACTGACAAATCTGAGAAGGGGAAGGCGAGTTCTTTGAACTGACTTTGCTTTGGAAACCTGTAATCACACGAGAGTCGCGCGGCGGCCTCCATCTCACAGGAGTCGGGTGATCTTGATGTCTGCAAATTTGAGCATCTCGGTGGTTGGTTTCTGTAGGATGTGACTATCCACACATATGTGGGCTTTCACACAAAAAGAGTTTTGCGTAGAAAAAACGCATGAGCTTTCTTCAGACTGCAACTGTGCCCTTTTCTGTTGTAGCTTCGCTCTAGTCACTGTGGTGTCTTTTAGATTCTGTGGGCTTTTGGCGTGTTTTTTGTTGTTTTTTTGTTTTTTTTTTTCCCCCCGCTGTTGCAAATTTGAGTTACAGACTGAGCAAGCTGAAGCTTTCTTTGGGGGAAAAAGCAGGGCAGCCGTCGGGTTGGAGCCTGCAGTGTGAACGTAAGGCGTTCCTAAAGAAATCCCAGAAGGAGGGGGAGCCTGCCAGCCTGGCCTGCTCATGCTGATACTGGTGAGGAAAACCCACGGCTGCAGCTTCTCCCTGCCCAGGCTGAAATACCGACTGTGGCTGCGATAGAGCATCGCGGGGCGCTGGGTGGAGGGAACACGTGTTGGGGTGTGAGCGGTCCTAGTGCGCCTTGCACACCCGGTCACCAGCACCGTGCTCTGCCTGTGGCGTGGTCCTTGCACTAGCAGATGGTAACAGACCTCCCCATCGCCGGTTGTTACACGGTTACCCCAGCAGCTGCTGAAATTATTGAGGTGCTCGCTGGTGATCGGCGGGGAGGTTTGTTGGGAGGTGGCTGGGGTACGGTTGTTCAGATGGAATTATCTGCTCTCCACCAAGGTCTGGCCAGTCTTGTAAGTGTGCTTCACACCATAACCCTGTGCAGCCTCTTGCGCTCTGATAAATGGATGGAGGGAAGTTTCATTTAAGTAGTTCCAAAGTAAAATCTGCTTTAAGCTGAGAGGTGGAGCCACTCAATGTCCTGACTGGTGCAGCTGTGTCTCCTACCACCTCCCTCCCAGCTCTTTATTAGCTTACAGGCAAACTTGCTTCTCGTTTATTCCCCACCTTGAGGGTCTCTCCCTCACCTTTTTTCAACCTTACCCCTTCCTCTTAATGCACCTCTTGTCTCAAGCCTGTGGGCTTTACCACCTCAACTCTCGCTAGTTTAATTGTGGGAATTAGTCCTTTGAGGTGAATGGAGAGGAGAGCTGGCTCCCAGCTATTGACAAGTTCACCTTTGCGTGTTTATTAGCTTTGTCTTGCCTCTTACTATGGTGTTCCTCCACCTACTCAGAGAAGGAGCCACATTTGCAGTTTTCCCCATCAGAAGAGCACAGCAGAGATTGCAAAGTGCGAAGAAATAACGACCAGGTAACGTGCTAGTTCTGTGGGCTGCAGGAGCCTGTAGCTGCCCGTCTGGGGACCTACTGGCACGGAGATCGCTGCGGGCTGGTTTTCTTCTCTGAGCTTAAAACACCAAGTGGCAAAGCTCATCGGCACCGCAGCAGAGCGGCAGCATCTTTCTTGCCGCTGGACCAGGACCCTTTTTTGAGCTGAGGTGTTGGGTGCCAAGGTGGGGGAATGATTTGAGCTGGGCTCTGCTCCGTGCGTGCAGGCCCGGGTTGTGATGCCTCTTCCCTTGCGTTGCCCCTTCCTTGTGTTGCCTTTCCCAAAAGCCTGGGGAGGTGCTGCGAAGAAACTCGGGCCCAGGGCTCTCAGGCAGCTTTCAGGGCAGCTGAAGCTGGCGTGGCGAAATAAAAACGCTCGAGACATTTGTAAGCTCTTCGTGGCGTAGCCTGTGTGTCGTGTTCTGCTCGTGGTGGACCTCGCGCTCAACTGAGTCACGCCAGCAGAGTATTCCTTCTGTCTGTCTGCTGCGAGGTTAACTGGGAAAGCAACCGAGCTGGTCTCGGTTAAGACCTGAAGAAGGGCTCTCCGCATCTCAGGCTTCTCCCCAAAAAGTTCTAGCTGAGATTTCCAGCCATCCCAAAGAGTTGAAGCAACAGCATCTCGCTCTTCCTCCATAATTCTTGTAGATAATGGCATATTTTATTCCTGTGGCTCCCGCATTTGCTGGCCCTGGCCCGCAGAGTGTTTTATGGCTTGGAGCTGATGCCGCCGAGGATTTATTGTGCTCTATTTAGCCCAGCGCTGCTTCACTGCTCCTCTCGGTGTCATCCCAACCCAGCCGACGACCAGGCTTCCCGGGCCCCCCGACAGACCCGCGCCCGCTCCCCCTGTGTCGGGCTGCGCACGCCGGTGATTCCCACACGGACGTCACCCTCCCCGGAGGCTCCCCGGCAGATCTCCTCCGATTCCTGTCAGGCGTTGTTTGCAAGAGCCATGAAGTTTAGTGTTGCAAAAACTGAGCTGCTTTTGAGTGATTTGGAGTAGAGGTTTTCATCATCTGTGATGGTTTCTCCTGGCGATTGCTTTCTTTCAGTCATTTATGTAATTGCGGTACTCGGTTTCCTGTGGATTTTTATACTTCATTTGAGATTCATCTGAAGATGGCATGTTCCCATCTCTAGGAATGTGGCCAGATTGAGACATGAACTGCCTAAGCTGGCTGCTGAAACTGCAGGCCATATTTTTGTTTCATCCTGAGATGCCGTTCTGATTTTTCGAGGTGTCTAAGACACAATCTTCCAGTGCCTGCGGTAGCCAAAAATATTCACAGTCGAGAATATTTTAGTTACCCCTCCTGCCATCATACTTAAGTCCCACAGCAGCTTCTCATGAAGACCTGTTCCAGTTACACAGAGGTGATATTTTCCTTTCTATATCAACCAATGACTCCAAATGACACGGACTTGGAGTGTATGTGCATAAGCAAATCCCTCTCCTTATGGATGCTGTGAGTACTGCAGAGCCCAGCGCCTGGTCCTGCTGCATCTGCCGGCGCAGCGCTCAGTGACCCAGTAACAAACGGAATTTAGCACTAAATTTTAGGTTTTTTCCTAGGTAATTTGCGGAACCATCCATTTAAGGGATGCCTGTGCACGGGGCAAGGCATAAGGTTTCCACTGATAAAAGTCACTTACACAAATGTAAGTGAACGTGGCGTGCGTGCAGCTGCGTGTTTTCGTATGCCCAGTGGCACCGTTCAGTCCCTGCCCTGCAAAGCAGTTCAGGTGTGAACACAAACTGCCCTTACACCTTCCCTTCGACAGAGGGGAGTATTAGGTTCAGACACATGAAAGAGGTGCACGGAGGGGGCTGTTAGAGAGAGAAACTTGAAAATTAAGAGATCACCAACCTTTACAAGAAGTCTAGTAGATGAGTGTTTTTGTCAGGATATCTTTTGGCCAAAATATCATTTAGAAGTTGAACAGCCTGGCAGGCCATCCTGGAAGGGAGCTGGTTCAAAACACAAGGAGCTAATTGAACATAAAAAAAAAAAAAAAAAAAAAAAAAAAAACCTAAAAATCAGTGTTTTCAAGGAGTGCTAGGCTAAAGCCTCAGCAAAGAGTCAGGGTTCCCCCAGCCCTCCCACCTCTGTATGAACAGTGTACGTGGATAATACGGATCCAAGACAAACTCCACTGGTTTGAATCACTGTTTTATTGCGTCTTTATGACTGTAACTGCAGGATGTTCCAATGTATTTTTTCAAAAAAAAAAAAAAAAAAAATTTAAATCCCCCCAAACCTTTTTGGGTCTCCGCTGGAAGGGTTGCATTTCCCTTGGCTAACTCTGCCTCTCCCGCTTTCCAGGGCCACCCGTTCATCGTGCAGTACAACGATGGGAATGCAGAAGTCGTGTCCATGTGGGTGTGCAGGATGCTTGAGGAACGGCGATCGACCCAAGGAGCCCAGTGAGCCGGGCTGGCTCACCGCAAAGCGCCAGGCAGGGGCCCCTCCTGGACTAGCAGCACCAGCCCCGCGCTTCGGACTCGCAGTCTCTCTGGATCGTCTTCTCCTACAAATATTTTCTAGAAACGTCAGCAAAATCTTTCAGGATATTTGTTGCTGCCTTTCCCTCACCGCCACATTAAGGATTTTTCTTCCCACGTTTCTTTTGTTGCTGAGCAATTTCATGTCCTCAGATTATCTTCAGTTAAACTGTACATGGCCTTAAAGCAAGTATTTTATATCTATATTTTTTTGTTATTGAATGTATTGTATATTTCCTGGATCCAGAGTATTTTTTAACTGTTAGTCTTTTGCTATTGTACAAATGACATGCTGAGTGTTCCGAGGGTGTCGTAAGGAGTCGTTGACTGTCTTTGAGCGCAGACGCCCACGAAATGCTGGTTTTAAATGTAAAACAAAAGCAAGCAAACAAAAAAGATGGATCTGGACTTGCCCATCCTGCGAGGAGGCGAGGGGTAGCCCTTCCAGAGGAAAAGCGTGGCAGGCAGATAGATCAGCATCAGTTTGGTTATCATCACAGCAGTTTGTGGCTTTCTTGGAAGCGTTTTGCCTTCCGCAGCTCTGCTGTGATCACTGATTTTCTGACTCCGGAGTCGCTGCACGATGGGTGCAGCCGGGTCGAGCAAAGGCTCCCAGGTGTGCTGCTACCGTGAAGGAAAGAAGGACTGCAGTGTCTCTGCTGTGTGTTTCTTACTCCTGCAATTCCCGTGTATGCTTCCACAAGAGTCTGACACAGATTTAATCAGTCCTTGTGTTAAGAAGCTTATTAAAAAGAAAAAAAAAAATCAGAAGAGAGGAGGACGGTGAAAGGCAGGGTTGGGGTGTGTGATGTGGGTGGGGGTGGAGGTTGGGGCTTTTGTTTGCTTGTCTTTGCATTAGAAATAAACTTTTGCTAAAAAAACAAAAAAGCTCAGGTAGTTTATTATATACCAGCAGCTTAAAAAAAAAAAAAAAAAAAAAAATTTGGTGAAAAATTCCTCCTGAACCACTGCAAATCCTAAATGTTACTCTGGAAGCAGCCTGGAAAAGACTTTGTTTCCTTCCTTGGAGGGATCGTTTGTCTTCTTTTGAAGTATAGAGGTTGCAGGCATGAACTTATAGACTAAAGTTTGTCTTAATTGCTCTGATGTCACAACCTCCCTGGCAGATAACAGTACAATGAATGAGTCAACGGCCCCCATACCTCCAGGTCCTTTTTCTAAAGTGAGACAAATTTCTTCCCTGTGAGCCAACCAGACTATAGGCAGCTCTTCCATTTATTTATCTCTAACAGTTTGCATTAGCTTTCTCCGGATAAAAAGTCTCTCCCTTGGATTTAGTTAAAAAGTCAGTAAAACCAAGGCTTTTCCTCTCGCTTTCCCTGGCAGGGAGGTCGGGAGGGGAAGACGTCACCCTGAAAATCTGCGCGGGATGCCAGCTGATGGAAACGTGAAAAATCTCCTGGCTAACGGGCTGACAGTGTTATAATTCACTGGCGTGCGTATTAACCTTGCTGTCTTCATCAGTATACTTAATCAAGCCAGCGATCATGGGAGAGGTTTGGGGCCTCTGTCATCTTTCCGTCCCCAAGTCCTTGAGTTTGGTGGGGATGGGGGACGGGGGGGGGGGAGGATGAGCAGCCGGGGCTCTGCTCCCCACGCAGGGTCAACGCCGTTTTGGGGGGGATTAGGGCTGGATGGGAGAGCGAAGCGAGCAGGTTGGGGAAAACCCAGCTCCGGGGGAAAACCTGCGCCTTGGCCCTGCTCTGCACCCGTGGGTGCCCACAGACCATCCCAATCCAAGCAATTCGGCCCGATTTTCGCCACCACCCGTCAGCACCGACGGGCAAAAGCAAGGAGGTGGGGGGAAGGCAATAAAATCAGGCCAGAATCTGGGCAGGTTTAGCGCTGCTGGGTGCCCCCCACCCGCAGCAGGCAGCTCCCCAGCAGGTCGGCACCCAGGAGAGCCGCTCCTCTCCCTGCAGCAAGTGCGTGCCAACGCGTCCGTGCCGCACGGGGCGTCAGGGCGAGCCTGCTTTGGGGCACCCCGCTGCGATGCAGGGGGGGGGGGGTGTGTGTGTGTGTCCCCAACCACCCCAAACCCAGCTGGCGGGATCCCCTGGGGTGCAACGCTGCAAGCAGGGTGACAAAGAGGGGGGGCTGGCCGTGCTGCGTTTGGGCTGAGGAAATCCTGCCCGGGGCTGCGCGCAGGCGGGGGTGACTTTGAGGGGGCCCCGGGCTCTGCCGCCAGCCTTGCGTGTAACGGCACCCTGGCCCCAAAACCCGCTCCGGGGACGGGAAGCAAACCAGCACCAGGAGGTTTTCCCAGCTGCCAGGCAGGACTGGAAGCGCTGGGTGCTGCCAAGGGGCCCAGCAGCTCTGCTCTCCGTGCTGCGCCGGAGCTGGGGCTGCCTGGGGACGTTGGGCCTCTCTCCTCCTTCCCACTTGCAACTTTTTGGAGTCCGAATCGAGGCAATTCTTGGCTGAAAAGCTTGCAGAAAACGCAGCAATGTTATACCTTACAGCTGAGTCCTGCTCAGAAGTCAGCGTTGGGAGTGGGGGGTGCATAACATTAATTCAGTGGTGGATGCTACAGATGTGCTGAGTGACCCCCCCCAGCCTCTCCAATCCCACTCTTTATCCCACCAGCTTGTTCAGGGACTCCACCAGCAGCCCCACACCAGCCTCACGGCTCTTGTCTCCCCTCCCTGTAACCTCATACTGGTACTGATACGCCCAGTCTCCTATGGGACTGTGTATGCAGGAGCTTGCAGGCTCTGGGAAAAACTGGGTCTGTCCCATCTGTGCCAAAACTTCCAACATTTTCCACTTTCCCCTGCCTGTGATCCTTGCCAGGCGAAGCTCATCCTTCAAGACAAGCCCACGGTCGTTTGCTTTGAAACACAGCATTGAATTAGAAAAGCAGAAAATATTTTGTTTCTTGTATCCTGTGGCCAAATACATCCTCCTGTCAGCTTTCCAAAGACAAAGTGTCAGTCTTTGTTTTCTGACTAACAGCCTGAAAACCTGCGTGTGTGTATGTGTGTGTGTGTGTCTGGCAAAGAAACCAAACCAGGGAGTTGCAGGGGGCTGCAGCTTCGAGGGCTGCGAGGGGTCCCCAACCCGTCCCTCTGCCCGGGCTTAACGTCTGTCAAGCAGGGACGGCAGCAGCCGGCAATATGCTCACGTTAATAACTGAACAATCACTAGGAACAGCTTTTAGGAGCTTCACTGGATCCCTTTGACATCCGCGAGCGTAAGCAAACTGGAGGATTGAATCTGGGAGTGGCGTATGTGTTTTCCTGCCTTGCGGAGCGTTGTGATCTTGCAGGGAAAGTTTACCTGGAGGCATCAATGGAAAAGGGACGGACCGCAGGGACCCTGCACTGCTGTGATGCAGGGGGGCATGTGGGCAATGTCTGAAGCAAAACCTGGGAATTTGGGTTTTAGCTGGGAAAAAAAAAAGAAAAGCAAAATAAAATAAAAGATCCCTAATCCTGCAGGGTACAAATTCTGCTGAGCAAGAGCAAAGGCTTTGGGAGCCGATGGCAGAGGCTCAGCTCACTCGGCTTCGGGCTCCAACTGCTCTGACAGCCCAGGGGGACCATCGGTGTCCAGCCCCACGGGGCTGTACCTGCGACCCCCCCCCCCAGGGAGCCTGCAGCCTCAGCCAGTGAGGAAGAGGAAGGAGGAAGCAGGTCAGGGGACTGCAAAAGCCGAGATGCCCCAAGCTGGGGCTCTGCTCTGGGAGGAGGGGGGGGAATCCCCCTCACAGAGACAAGCCGAGGTGCTCCCCGCAGCACAGGGGGGGCACGACCTCTCCGGGCACTGAATGGGAGCGGGAAATCCGCCTTTGCAGGGGTTTGGAGCAGGCAGCCCCCACGCTGCTCCCCGCGAAGGACTCCGGGGCTTCCCAGCCTCCCAGGGACAAAGCATCTTTGTGCAGAGGCTCTTCCCCCCTGCTCCCCCAAGATGCATAACCGGCAGAGACAAACACGTAAGAGACCCCGCAACACCCCCAGGAGACCCGTCCTCGCTCAGCTGCCCGGAGCCGCCCCACACGGGGCTCGGCATGCTGGCAGGGCTGGGTTATCCACATCACCAGTGACCCCAGCTCTTGGAGGGCTGCAGAACCCCCTCTGGCCTCTCAGCTTCTCCAGAGGGTGCTCCGGAGACTTTCTTCAGCCGTGTGAGGTTATTTGTGGGTGACTCCTGCCCCACGCAGCCCAGTTCCTGCCCCACTGTTGTCCTGGGGCTGCCCTCTGCCCTGCGGGGATGCGGGCAGGGACCAGCCTGAGCCCCAAATTCTGCAGCTTGGGGGGTACCATGTCCCCGCGGTGGGAGCCGGGTCCTGGGGAGCAGAGGGGGGCCCTGGCAAGGAGGGGGAGCCGAGGGCCATCGCATGACAGCAAGGTCCTGAACTATAGCAGTTATTTTAAGGGCAACCCATCTCCAGCCTTTGCTGGGGGACCACTGAGGCTGGTGGGGAGGGGGGGGCTCACAGGCACCATGAGGCACCAATCTGGAGGGATTTGGGGAACATCCTCTGAACTTGCCGGCCTCATCCTGCTCACCAGTGCTGCACCACGGGGCCGCCTGGCCTGGTCTGTGAAAGCCTAATGGGGGGGAAAAAAAAAAAAAAAAAAAAAAAAAAAAAAATCTCTAACTGTATTAATTTGGGGCATATCAAATAAAAAGAAGGTGGTGCTTTCAGAAAAGAAAAGCTCAGAGGTCGGTGCCTTTCCCTGCGGGAAGCTGCGGCGGGAGGGCTGCGGTGCGGCTGCCGAGGAGCTGCGCTGACCCGGGGCTGCTTTACCTTCACTAAAGGGTACGGCCATAAACTACAAGTGTGCACTAAGGACAGGATTTATAGATTGAGCCTTACCGGCTGCTGGAGCGGCTGCTGCTTCGCCGGTACCCCACTGCGGCTGCTCTCGCCGCCGAATCCTGCAGTGAAAGTTCAAGGTTTATAAGTAGCCGGTCAGGCCAGGAGATGTTTAATGGTAAATGGTTGTCTGGGGTTTTTACAGGCAGGAGGAGGAAAACTCTGCGGCCGAGACAGAGCTGCTGGCCGGGCCCCGAACGCAGCCCCGGCCCCGAGGGTCGCGGTGGCCGGCTGTCCCCGGCACGGCACGGCCTGGCAGGACGGAGGCAGCGTTAATTGTTGGCCTCGGCTCATCCCGCTCCGTCTCCGTGAAGGCGCTGCTTTAACCTAATCAATAAAGTCGTGTCTATCGATCCTGCACGCACCGTTCCTGCGTAGCCCGGCCGCCCCGCAGCCGCTCTCCGGCCGGGGGAAATGAGGCAGATTTAGAGCTGGTGGGGATGGGGTGGGGAGGGGAGGGCTGGGAAAGTGCGGGGCATGGGGGGACGGGGGGGGCGGTTAGGGGGGCAGGGGACAAGGTGACAGCAGTGGTGGGGGGGGGGGTTGGATAGTGGGGAACCTGGGGCACAGCAAGGGGTGCACGTTGGGGAGAGCCAGGGTGCGTGTTGTGGGGATGGGAGGGTGTATGGGGGGGGGGGCACGGTGGGTGTGGTGGAGGTCAGAGAAAAGGGGGGACACGGTGGGAGAGCTGGGGTGCGTGGATAGGGGGGCAGTGGGAGAGCTGGGGTGCAGAGATGGGGGGGGCAGCGGGAGAGCTGGGATGCATGGATGGGGGGGCAGTGGGAGAGCTGGGGTGCAGAGACATGGGGGGTACAGTGGGGGAGCTGAGGAGGGGGCAGTGGGAGAGCTGGGGTGCGGAGATGGGGGGGCAGTGGGGGACCCGGGGTGCAGAGAGGGGGGGTGGATGGGGTTGGGGGCCGGGCATGCACATCCAGGGGATTTACAAAGAGCCCCAGGGTGCACCGAGAGGACCCCCGCGGGCTCCCCGGGGGTCGCACGGCAGCACCCCCGGGGGGGGGGGGCCGATCCTGCAGCCCCCCCCACCGTGATGCTGCCCACCCCCACGGGGGCTCAGCACACCGGGTCAGGCGGAGTGTGCCCGGCCTGCAGAGAGCCGCCGCCCGCTCCCTTTGTCAATGTCCAGTAATTAAAATGTCACCGTTTAATTTTCAGGCCTCTCGGAGCAATCTTTTCCTAATAAAGAGTCTAATCGAAACACTCCTTCCCCCCCGCCTCCCCGGGAAGGGCCGCGGAAGAGGCTGTAAAGGCGCAGAGCCGCTGCGGATCGATAGAGAGAAGCCCGGATTGATCGGCCTCTAAAATTAAATTTATTGGGGTCATGGTTTTATATGGTGCTGATACAACTGTTAAATGGGGAACATTCATTTCCAATAGGAGGCGTTTATTAAACTTCCACTGAATTAGACCGCCGTGATTTATGTGGCAATCTCGGCACAGCCCTCCAGGAGAGAGGGGCCTTTCGCGGCCGTCCCCCCCGTGATTATTTATTTATACACCCGTGACACGGCTCCCTAAGTTTTAACCTAAATTATCCGCCGGCCTCGCCTGCCAGTGGCACCGGGACGGGGGCTGGGGGGCCGCTGGGGGGTCCCGTCGGGGAGCACGGCCTTGCCTGCCGCCTCCCCGGCGGCCGGGGGGGCTCCGCCGCGCTCCTCCGCGCCCCTCCGCTCCCCTTCCGCGGCCGCGCAGCCCGGTCCGTCCGGCGGCCCCCGGGGGGGCGCCCGGGGCGGCGGCGGAGCCCGCAAACGTCCCGGCTCTGGCGTGCGGCGATCGTTGAGCGTTAATTAGAAATTCATTACAATTAAAAGCCGCGCGCACACGCCTTAATTACATCTGATTTTTAATTCCGAATCCGTGTTTACACAGTAAGCGAGACGTACCTCCTGATTATCCCCAATACTCTTTATACTGTACTAATTATGTAAATTAAACCTAATTAACTGACAAAAACTGCAGTCAATTCAACTGTTAAAAGATACGGCGGCGGCGAGGAGCGGGGCGCCGGCGGGGGGAGCGGCCGGAGCGGCGGGGCCGGGGCCGGTTCGCACCTCGGGGCTCGGCGCTGCCGCCGTCGGGGCCGGTTCCGCCGCCCGCGGCTCCGGCGGAGCATCGCGGGCACCGGGGCAGCCGCCCGGTCCGGGGGAGGGCACGGCGGAGGGGCCCAGGGGAGAGCCGCACCTTCCAAACTGTGCCCCCCTCCGCCACCCTCACCCCCCCCTCCCCCCGGCACCCCCGACGTGCCGCCGCGGGAGCGGCCCCGGGAACCGGGGGGGGGAAACACACACACACACACACACACACACACACACACACACACACACACACACACCGGCTCGGCCCCCGCCGCCGCCGCCCGTTCCCGGTGCCTCGCAGCCGGTTCCGCAGCCACTGCGGGGATTTAACGCCGTGGGATCCCCCGAAAAGCGGCGGCGAGAGGGGTAGCGGGGCTGGGCGCGTCTCACCGCGCTCCTGCGCCCGCCTAGCCGGAGGATGATGGCGGGGCGGGGGGGGGGGGGGATAAATAATTAAAAGGCGAGGAATAATTACCGGCTCGGGTTGCGATCGTTGCGGGAAGGCCGCGCCGCAAGGCCCGGCCGGCAGCAACCCGCTCCGCGTCCCCGTGTGTCCCCCCACCCACCCACCTCCCTGCGACGGGACGTCCCGGGGGGAGCCGCGGCCGCTTTCCCGCGTGGGAGCGGGGACCGGGGCCGGTTCAACCGCGGCGGCCCGGGGAGCGCGGAGGAGAATGGGTGGCTCCGCACCTGCGTTGCGCTCCGCGGCCGGCTCCGCCGCATCCTCCCGGCGCCGCTGGTGATGGCGGGGAAGGGGACACACACACACACACACACAAAAGTGATAGCTGGGGGCGATCCGCGCCGTTATTAACTTCTGTTTGATCAGTGTAATTGCGCCGATCGCGGCCGGACGCGATGATTAATTACAGTTTAATTAACGTGGCCATGACGAGCGCTGCATGCGGGAACCCAAGCAGGGAAGGGACGCGGCTACGGGCCCCCGCCACTCCGGCAGCACCGGCGGCCACCGGAGCGGGGGGTCCGTGTCCGTGTCACACACCCACCCCCCACCTCCCCCCCATCCCCCTCCGGTGGTCGCCGGTCCTGCCGACGCGGAGTGGGACCCCGTGGGGAACGAAAAAACACGGGCGCGCCCCCCCCCGCCCTCGCTTCCCGGCGATTTCGTTGCCGCCCCGGAGTCCCCCCCTCACCCCCGGGGCCGCTCCCGCATCCGCGCCCCGCCGGCGGAGCCGGGAAGGAGGTTGGGGGGATGCGCGGCAGCATCGCATCCCCGATTTCGATGGGGCCCCTCCGCCACCCCCCCCGGGCTCCTCTTTTCGTTGCCGCCCGCTCCCCACGCAAACTTTCAACGAGCATCGCTCCCCCCCCAAGGGGATACCCACACCGCGGGCGGGGGGGGGGGGGGGCGCGGAGAGGCGCGGAGCAGCGCGGAGCCCCGCGCAGGTGCGGCCCGGGGCTGATCCCCGCTCTTACCTCGGGCAGCCCGGGCGGGTCCCCGCTCGGTGGCGGCCCCCCACGCCCCCCCCCCCCCCCCCCCCCCCCCTTTTCTCTCCCTCCCCGTTCCGCCGTGCCTTAAAGCCGCGCCGTGATTGACTGGAGCGCATCGGTGATTGACGGCCGCGGGGTCCCGGAGGCAGTTAATGTAAATATGCTGGTGCTAAGTGGGTGTGTCTTCCCGTTATTTTAGCTGTCACCGGATCAATGTGCAGCGTCTCCAAGTACGGATCCGGATCCTCCCTCGGTGGCGCGGCTGGTCACTCGCTCTTGTTGCATCTCGCCGGGGCGGGCGGCGGCCCCGAGGCGTCGGTGAAGGGCGCGTCGCTGCCCGCCCGCCCCGCGCCCCGGCGGCTGCCCGCCGTGAAGGGCTCGGTGGGGACGGGGGCCCCCCCCTCCGCGGCTGATGGCGGCCCCGGCGCCGGGCTGCGGGCCCTAGCCCCGAGGAGAGCCTGCACGTCCAGCCGGGCTCCGCCGGCGCGGTGAGTGCGAGCGGGCGGCGGATGGAAGGGATGGGGATGTGGGCGGGGGGGGGGGGGGGAAGGAATTCGGGGCGCGTTTTCGGGAGAATCTCCCCCCGTTATTTTGTGTAACGACCACGGAAGCGGCTTACCGCCGTGAGCCCTCCCCGCTAAGCCAATTTGCCTGCTGCCCTTCTGCCGCTGCGTTCTGCCGGTCCTGCCCGCCCCGGCCCCTAATCCGCCCGCTCCTAATCGCCAACCAGGAGACGCGACAAAGGGGCTACCGGCCAGCCGCGCCCGTCGCCCCCCTACGCCCGCCAACGGGCACCGAGCGGCAAGTTTCGGCCCGCCCGGGCCGGCCCGGGGGTCGCTCCCCCCGCCCCGGCCCCGCCGCCGCGGGACGAGCCGGTCGCATCTCCCGGCGCGTTTTGTTGGATCCCGCCCGGGGCTCGCCGCGACCGGCGGCCCGGCACGGCTCGGCGAGCCGGCACAAAGGGAAGGGACGCGGCATCACCCGGGGCGGGGGGCTGTGTGTGTCGAGGTGTGTGTGTGTGTGTGTTGGGTGGGGGGGTGGGAGATGCCCTTGCCCCGGGGTTCCCGGGGCCGCACCGGCGGCGGTTGCGGCGGGGCTCGGGACCGGCGGCCGCGGCGCGGGGGATGCGCTACGGCTCTGCCAGAGCTCCCCGGCCGGGGAACGGGGTCGTGGGGGGGGGGGGGGGCGGGGGGGGGGGGTCCTGCGGCAGCGCCCGCGGAGAGGCGGGTGGGGGCTGAGGGCCGGGGCCGGCAGCGCCGAGCGGGGAGCGGCCGGGGGCTCCGGGAGCGGCGGGCCGGGCGGCGGCGGCGGGGCCCCGGGAGCGCTTCTAACCCGCTCCTTTCCCCGATTTTTGTTTTTTTTTTTGCAGGGGCGTTTTGGGGGGAATGGAGGCGATCGCCAGTCAGATGGGAAATGGGAGAGATGCAAGCTCCTCCCCAAATTCAAAGCAAGAGCTGCAGCCCTACCAGGGCTCCAATACCCTCAAGCCCAACCAAGTGGGTGAGACCTCTCTGTACGGCGTGCCCATCGTGTCCCTGGTCATCGACGGGCAGGAGCGGCTGTGCCTGGCGCAGATCTCCAACACGCTGCTCAAGAACTACAGCTACAATGAGATCCACAACCGGCGGGTGGCCCTGGGCATCACCTGCGTGCAGTGCACGCCGGTGCAGCTGGAGATCCTGCGGCGGGCCGGGGCCATGCCCATCTCCTCCCGGCGCTGCGGCATGATCACCAAGCGGGAGGCGGAGCGGCTCTGCAAGTCCTTCCTGGGCGAGCACAAGCCGCCCAAGCTGCCCGAGAACTTCGCCTTCGACGTGGTGCACGAGTGCGCCTGGGGCTCCCGGGGCAGCTTCATCCCGGCCCGCTACAACAGCTCCCGCGCCAAGTGCATCAAGTGCAGCTACTGCAGCATGTACTTCTCCCCCAACAAGTTCATCTTCCACTCCCACCGCACCCCGGACTCCAAGTACACCCAGCCCGACGCCGCCAACTTCAACTCCTGGCGCCGCCACCTCAAGCTCAGCGACAAGACGGCCACGGAGGAGCTGTCGCACGCCTGGGAGGATGTCAAGGCCATGTTCAACGGCGGCACCCGCAAGCGGACCTTCTCTTTGCAAGGGGCGGCCGCCGGCGGGCCCGGCGCCGGTTCCCCGGCCGCCAAGGCCGCTCTACACCCGCCACCGCCCGCCGGTCCCGAGCTGGCCCCGGCGCACAAGAGCCTGCGCTGCAGCGGGCAGGAGCCGGCGGGCGAGCGCGGAGCGCTGGGGCTACCGGCGGCGCACGGCGGGGCGGCGGGGGCTCACGGCGGGGCGGGCGGGGTGCGCAGCTACCCGGTGATCCCGGTGCCCAGCAAGGGCTTCGGGATGCTGCAGAAGCTGCCGCCGCCGCTCTTCCCCCACCCGTACGGCTTCCCCGCCGCCGCTTTCGGACTCTGCCCCAAAAAGCAGGAGGACGCGCTGGGCGGCGCGGGGGGCGGCGAGGCGGGCAAAGGCGGCGCGCTGCCCCCCGGCATGTTTTGGGGACCCCCGCACCCCCACCCGCACCAACCGGCCCAGCCGCCCCACCAGCCCGGAGCCGCCAAGGACACCGGGGTCTACCCCTCCTTCCCCGTTTTCTGGCCGGCCGCCGGTAGCCTGCCCGTGCCGCCTTACCCGGCGCAGAGCCAGGCCAAGGCGGCGGCCACGGCCGTGGTGGTGGCGGCGGCGGCGGCGGCGGCGGCGGCGGCGGCCGAACCGCCGGGTTTGTCGGGCCGGCACGGCGAGCTGGAGGGCTCGGAGCCGTCGGGCAGCGGGAGGAGCAGCGCTACCCCCCAGGAAGGCGCCGGGGCGGAGGGCGAGCGCTGCCCCAGCGCCTTGTCGCGGGCGGCGGGCGAGGAGGAGCGCTCCGGGGACGAGGCGCTGCTCGCCCCCCTGCCCCTGCCCAGGAAGGGCAGCTACCTCTCCGCCTTCCGCCCGGTGGTGAAGGACGCCGAGAGCATCGCCAAGCTCTACGGCACCCGGGAGGCGTACGGCGGCGCGGCCCCCCGCGGCCCCGGCTACCTCTCCCCGGACTTCCTCAGCGAGGGCAGCTCCAGCTACCGCTCGCTCTCCCCCGGGGGGGACACGGCCGAGGAGCCCGAGGTGGACGTGGAGTCCAACCGCTTCCCGGAGGACGAGGAGGAGGACGCTGCCGCCGCCGCCGCCGCCGCCGCCGCCCCCCCCGAGGGACGGGACCCGCCGCCCCCCCGGCTGCTGGCCGGTACCGAGGAGCCGCCGCCCGTCGGGGCCGATGGGCCCGAGGAAAAGGCGGGCGAGCCGGCGGCGCAGGAGGGCGGCCAGCCCCCCGACGGTAGCCCCGAGCGGAGCAGCAGCCGGGGCGCCTACGAGGTGAGAGACTCGCGTGGGGGGGGGGAAGCGTGTGTGTGTGTTGGGGGGGGGGGGGGGGGGGGTTGTCCCCGCCGCCCTGACTCGCTCTTTTGTAGGTGTACGCGCCGGAGAGGGGGGAGCACCTGCAGCCGCTGAAGACCACCGCCTCCCTGGGAGCCCCGGCCGCCTACCTCTGCACACCCGAGGCGAAGGGTAAATGGGGCCGGGGGAGGGGGGGTGGGGGGGGCCGGTGCTCATCGAGGGCGCGGCCCCGGGCTCCCCCTCCCACCGCCTTCCCAGCCCCGGGGGGGCTGCCGGACCGCCGCTTTCGTTTTGAGGGATTTCGAGAGGAAAACGAAAGCTAACGGTTTTCGTCCAGGGGAAGGGGTCAGGCCCCCCACCCCACCCCCGGGGCCCGGGGATGCCGCCGTCGGACGGGGCCGGTGCGGCGGGGATGGGCTGGCGGGGCAGAGATCCCGCCAGGAAGCTACTTTCCAATAGCAAAGCGATTAGGATGTCCGCTAAGAAGGTTTTAACGAGGGCTTTGTCCGTAATTATGTAATTAAGGATATAGCAGGGCCATACTTTCATTGCTTACGGTTGAAAATCGGTTTATTAACTTTAAGAGCAAGATAAAGACGACAATCACTCTGCGGCAGAGGATTTAGAGACCAGAAAATCCTATCAGGACCAAAGGAATGTCTCGCATCCCAGCCCTGTAAATACCGACAGAGGTAAGCGCCCGGCCGCGCTCCGCCGCGGCCCCTCCGCGGGACCGTCCGCGCTCGGCGGAGCCCCCCGCGGAGGGGCTGACGGCTCTGTGCCCTCCCCCTCCGTAGGAGAGGACGGCCTCGGCATGGATGTCGCCGGGACGCAGCTGGTAGAAAAGGACATCGAAAATTTGGCCCGAGGTGAGGGGGGGGTGCGCGGCCCGCGGCAGGGCGGGGGGCTGCGGGGGTCGGTGTCCCGGGGAGGGCCGGGGGGGGGGGGGGAGAAGGCTGGCGGGACCCCCCGGCCTCTCCCCGCAGCTCGAGGTATTTGTGTTTTCTGCAGGAGTGATTAACTCCTGTGATTAATGTAACGTAATGCGATTAGCGCCGCGCTGAGCCGCCTCCATATGGAAAAGTGGGGGCTCCCCTCAACCCCGCCATGTATTTTTAAACAGACGAGTTGCAAAAACTGGTCCTGGAACAAATGGAGCTGAGGAAAAAGCTGGAGAGGGACTTCCAGAGCCTGAAAGGTAGCCGCGATCCCCCCCCGGCCTGCGGGGGCTGGGGCGCAGTGCTGACCCCCCCTGCTCCCCGCAGATAACTTCCAGGACCAGATGAAGCGGGAGCTGGCGTACCGGGAGGAGATGGTGCAGCAGCTGCAGATCGTCAGAGGTGAGGCCCAGCCGAGGCCAGACGACCATTATTATTTTTCTTTTTTTTTATATATATATATTTTTTTTTTTTTTTTTAATCGATATTCCTTCACTCGCTCCGATTCGTCTCGGGATTTCCAGCCGCCCCGCAAACGGCTGCGAGGCATCATTACGCGGGAGCGAATGAACCTTCCTTCTCACAGCAATTTCCACCCGGGCTAAATTAAAAACCGGGGCGTAAAATTACCTGGGAAGCCATGCCCGACTTTGCGCGCATCGTGTGTGTCGTCCCCCCCCCGCCACGTCCCTGTCTGTGTGTCCCCCCCACACCCCGCGCTGCGGAGGGGCGCGGTGCCCTTCAGCCCAGCGCATCCCCGACGGGGCGGCCGCTCCCTGGGCCCCCCCGGCGCGTTGTGATGCTCTTTTCCCCCCCCCCTCAAACCCTCCCCCCCTCCCCCTAGATACGCTGTGCAACGAGCTGGACCAGGAGAGGAAAGCGCGCTACGCCATCCAACAGAAGTTGAAAGGTACCGGGGCAGGATTTGGGGGGGGGGGGGGAGCACAGACGTCTAAAAGAGGGGCTGACGCCCCCCCCCCCTTCCCCCCCCCGTGTGTGTGTGTGGGGGGACGGTCGGGGGGTGACCGCTCTGTCACTTCGCAGAAGCCCACGACGCGCTGCATCACTTCTCCTGCAAAATGCTGACCCCGCGGCACTGCACGGGGAACTGCTCCTTCAAGCCGCCGCTGCTGCCCCAGTGAGCCCCCCCACCCCGACGCCCCCTTACCCCCCAAACACTCCCCCCCCCCCCCCCCCCCCCGGACCCCTTCTTTCCCCCGAAGCCATGCGGGCAGAGCCCACACAAGCCATTTCCACGAGGAGACATTTGTACATAGAGGATTCGGAGCCCGGTTTTCCTCGGACTGGCAATACGGCGGGGAGCGGCCCCGGGCCGGCGGGAGGGGGGGAGCCGGGCCCTCCCCCTGCGCCCCCCGGGGCCCCCCGCTCCGCCTCCCCCCTCCCTCCCTGCGTGTCCGCTTCTCCACCCCTTGTCCAGACTGGAAACAAAAGTGGCTATGTGCAATGGATATAAATGTACTGTGATTCTCTTGGTACAGTATTTGTTGGATTTTTATTTATTTATGATGTATATTTATTCTCCCCCCCACCCCCTCGGGCCCCCGTCCTCCCTCACCACCCCCCCTGTAAATTTATGGATGTAACAGCACTTTAACGGGCGGTCCGCGACTCCGGAGGCAGAACAACGCTCGCCCGCTCTGGGGAGAGACCCCTCTGTACGTGATTTTGGTTCTTTAATAAAAACCGACTTTAAGAAGCCGCCTGGTCCGTGGGGCTGTCCCGGGGGAGGGGGGTGTATGTGTGTGGGGGGGTGTCCGTGTGTCCCACACTGGGCACGCGGAGGGAGGGGCTCCCCGGGGCGGGCTGACACCGGGTGTCACGGGGGTGGGGGTGGGCCGTTCTCCTTTTTCCCCCTTTTTTTCCCCCTTTTTCCCCTTCCCCCTCCTCCTCCGCGCCGCAGCCGGGAGCTCATTAATGCCCATTTATATGCTCGTTTCACACATGAAAGTATTACATTAATGAGCTCTGAGAGCGGGTGTGGAGGTGCTCGCACACCTATTAGCCCTAAATACCTGTTTTCAGCCCCAGATTAACCTAGCGCGACATCTCGCGGGGGCTGCAGGGCTGGAACCGTGGCCGGGGGGGGGGGGCGGGGGGGATACACCTTGCACCGGGGTCCTGGGGCGCTTTGGGGACGGGAGGGAGACACACATCCCACCGGGATCTGCCGGGGAGGGGGGCGGACCGGGAGCAGCCCGGGACCAGTGCGGGATGGAGGGGGGGGGATGATGGATGGATTCGGGGGGAACGGGTTGCCCATCCCGGCGCTGCCCACGGTGGGGTTTCTGTGGTGGGAGCCGTCCCCGCGAGTGGAGTTGCGCAGCGCGGCTCTGCCGTTAATTAGTTTCGGGACTCTCATTAAGCGAAGCAGCGGCGGTTCCGCGGCCTGGGTCGCCACCGCGTGGGCGCAGCCGGAGGTGCAGCCACCCCGCATCCCCCCCCCCCCCCCCCCCAATCGTGTGTGTCCCCCCCACTTCGGCTTCTGGGCCCCATTCGGCTTCTTGCCCGGCCGCATCCTGCCAGCACAGAGGGGTCCTGGGCTGCCCAGCAGCTCCCCTCGCCGATGGGCAGCCCCTGCTCCACGCTGGGGTCAGGTCGGGGGGGGTTCCAGAGGTGCTTCCCAGCCTAAATCCTGATTAAACCCTGTCCAGGGGGTTCTCTAGAGGTGCCTCCCAGCCTAAATCCTTATCAAACCCCATGGGTTTTATTTTTATGGGGCAGTGGGTGCCTGACCCTGGGATCAGCTGTGCTGGATCAGGAGCAGCATCCCCCATCACCTGTGGGGGAGGAAGACCACTCAAGCCAAAGCTGGGGCAGGTGGACACGGTTGGCTGGGCTGAAGGTTATAAAACCCTTGGGGTGAAAGCTGAGCTGACTTTTGGGGTTTTTTTTTCCTCATTTCTCAGAGCATCTGGCAAGGCTCTTGTGGCTTGTTTGGGGACAGCCATCCTTCCGAACCGTGTGAGCTGCAGAAGGTGTCTGCACGATGTGACCCTGAGTGGGAGCGGCGAGGTTGGGGCTGCTGGTGGCACCTCTCGTGCAGGTACGTCTAGGGGAAGGAGGGATCATCCTGCTGGGACGTGGAAGGGATGCAGCGACCAGGGAGATGGTGTCAAAGAGGTGAATAAAATGGTAGAGTCAAGGTCTGCAAGGTGAGAGGTGGGTCGCTTTAGGGGATGAAATAATTGGGCCTTTTTTGGGGGCTTGTAGGGGAGCAGCTGAGCGTTTTTTTTTTCTGACACGGCCCTCTGCGCCTCTCCAGTTGGGGTGTTGCTGGCACCTCGAGGGCTGGAGGTGGCCCAGGGTGACTCTGTGGAGGAACCATGGAGGAGCCTGGCCTGGGGACCTGGCCCTGGGGGGAAGCGCTGCCGCGCCTCGGAGGGGCTCTCACTCCCGACCCCAGCCCCACGCCAGCCCCCACAGCCGGGCTCTGGTGTTCCATGCATTCCCAGTTCCCGCTTTCCTCGCGTGGGGCTGCCAGAGCCGTGCTCTCCCCAGCAGCTCTCTGGCCTCGGCTGCGCTCACCTGCCCGGCCGCACCGTGCGTGGCGGCGGCGCTTGCCGACGCGGGTGCAAAAATGAACTATTGTGGCGTATTAATATTTTCACACTACTTAGCTCTCATTAAAATGTACTTTGCGGAATTTAATATGCGACTTCAAATGACACAACGTATTAAGTGCTTAATATACTAGAAATTATGAAACTATTATAGTCTAAGTAATATGAAATAATTAGAGTGAATTAAACTTCATGAGCGGAATGAGGGAAAGGCTTCAAATTTTTTCTTCTAGGTTTTTATTTTTTTTTTTTCCCCCTAGTCTTAAAATAGTTGAATGCCGTAATAGCCCCTGAAAATAAACAGCCAGAGTTAGGATTTTTAAATAATTAAAGCAGGAAAAAGCCTGGAGTGTCTGTATTTGAGCCTGTGATGAATTCTGAATTGGGAGAAGCAGAAGGTCTGTTTGCTGTAGCTGATGGAGTTGTTCTTTCAGGCCAGTGGCAGAGCAGCTCCAAGGAGCTGATCGCCAGACCTCCAGCCTTGCCCAGGCTTCTCCCCATATGCTATTTTCCTCTTGTACACAAAGCTGTTGATTTGGAGACAAGCAGACGTGGTGGCTCCCGGTGCTGGAGCCGTGTCTGCTCTGGGTTTCGCTGCCTCTGAGCTGACAGTCCCCTCTGCAGAGCAACTCGCCTCTTCGCGGGGGTCCAAACGTCAGGGCCACCCCCCCCTTTAAAATCCCAGGGACTGGCTGGAGCCTGGCCTCTCGTTTTGAGAAGTGCTTTGCGCCGAAGTTGGGGTTGAATCGCAGGTGCTTTTCGCGCAGGAAGGGGATCACCCTGGAGCACGGTGGGCTCGGGGCTGGTGGAGGTTCTCCAGCGGGTCCGTAGCAGGCGCCGCGAAGCGCCCAACCCGTCGGGGCATTTGTGGTGTGGGTGAGTGGGGCCCGCTCAGTCGGTGTGTCCCAGGCCCCAAATCTCCACCGCCAAGCCCGTGCGGAGCGGGACCCGCTCGGGTGAGGGTCGTCTCTCCTGCGGCAGCCTGGCCGGATTCAGAGGACGCCAGGAGATGGCGTTCCCAGTGCCACTCTGCGCAGCGCTCCTCGCCGGAGTTTGTCTGGTTTTGCACAGAGGTGTTGTGCAACTTCCATGGAAGCTATCAGAATTATCCCTTGGGAGAGTAAGTCTGAGCCTGGGTGGGGGGCGGAAAGCCGAAGTGGGCCGTTGCCTCTGCGCGACATGGATGTGCAGCGGTGAAGCTGTTGAGTCTCTCCTTGAAGCAGCAGATTTGGGGGCAGGAGAAGAAAACAGGCTCTTAACGTCCCTGGGGGCTTTAGGGCGATGGGTGTTGCTGCCGCCATGTGGGATGGGGGCCATCAGTGAGTGAAAAACGTGCCCGGACAATATTAGCTAAATGACTTGAAGGGGAGAAAATGAGCAAGGGGTCAGTCCCATTCGTGCAGGGTTGGGGTGGGGAGTGGTGTTGTGGATGGGGGCAGTCCCGAGAGGCTGGTGTGTCCCTTGCAGGTTCATTAAACCCCCCCACAACCCAGGGGAGAGGGAGAAAAGCGACTTTCCCATGAAATCCTGGTGTCAGGAGAAACCTGGGCTGTACCAGAGGTCACAGACCTGATTCTGGGAACCAGAGCAGCGGTACTGTCCCATGTAATCTGAGCTGCTCTGTCCCTAAGTAAGGACAGGCTCTTCTGTAAATGCATAAAGCTCTCACCAGGTTTATGGAGCAGTACCAGGGAAATAGTGCTGCACTCAGGTGAACACTAGGAAGGCTATCACTCAAGTTAAAAGTGAAGAGAAAAAAAAAAAAATGGTCCTTAATTTGCTTCCTTGAGGACTATTTAGGTTTCACCAATTGTAAAATCAAAAGACACATTTGCTTGGAAAGTCTAATCATTAAGTACAAAGCACTTGCCAGCAAGCATCTAAAGAAGTGTTAACTTTGTTTTATACTTCCCTTTGATTTCAAGGGACCACTTGCTTTTGGTGACAGGGAGGAAAAACAATCTCCCAATCAATCTTTTTGAAAACGCGTTGTCTAATCTTGGGCTAGCATGGTATGCTTTGTGGAAGATGTGTTTGCAAGACTCATCTGATTTTGAGCATGCTGTTTTATCGCTATAGTAAGTATTATCTGTGGTAATAGTAAGCATACTTTACTATACATTACTATATTTTATGGGTAAGAATGCTTTACTATATATTACTATAGCAAGTATTATCTGTGGGCTGGTGAGTGTTGTGCAGAGACACGGGGAAAAACATGTTCCCTTTTCTAACAACCGTCCAGGCCCAGGGTGGGTCTGGAAACCAGCAGGTCCCATCCAGGTTGGAAGGGACCTGTGGCTCTGGGCCAGCCCCTGCTCAAAGCAGGGCCACCTGCATTGGGTTGCCTAGGGCTACGTTCAGCTGAGACTCAAATAGCTGAAGGAGCTCCACAGTTTCTCTCCACTTCCAGCGCTGGGCTTCCCTCGTGATAAAAGAAAAAAAAAAAAAGGTTTGCCTTATCTACTCAGAATTTCTCATGTTTCCCATCGCTTCTTGCTGTGTTTCTCTTGAGGATAGCCGCTTTCTCCCTTCTCTGTACCTTCTTCGTTGGGATTTACAGACGGCAGCGGGACCTCCCCTTTGTCTTCTCCTCTCCAAGCTGGATGAACGCGGCTCCCTCTGCATCTCCCCATACACCACGTGCTCCAGCCCCCAAACGTTTCAGCCCATCGGGACCCCCAGGTCCCTTCCTGCAAAGCTGTTCTCCAGCCCATCACCCCAACTTGGCGCTGGTGCGTGGGCTTCTCCCAGCCCAGGGGCAGGACGTGGCATTTGCCTTCACGAGGTCCAGGTCCCTTCTCCAGCCCGCCCCAGTCTCTCTGAATCACAGGCCTGGCCCCCCCCAGCACCAACTGCTCCTCCCAGCTTTGGTGTCATCTGCCAATGCTCTGGCCCATCACCCAGGTGGCTAATAAGGCCAGCATTGATT